CCGCTCAGCCCCGGGGAGCTGCTGGCAGGGTAACAGGGGCAGCTTCTTCACGGGAAGGGCTGCCAGGGCCTGGCACAGGCTGCCCAGGGCAGTGGTGGACTCAGAGACGTGTAAAAGCCACGTAGCTGTGGTGCTGGGGGACGTGGTTTAACGGTGGGCCCGGCAGTGCTGGGTGAGCGGTTGGACCCGGTGATCTTAAACAGCCTTTTCCAACCCAAACACTCCTAGGGTTTTCCAGCTGGGAAGAGGGAGGCCTCGCTCCCACAGCACCCCAGCCATGGATCCTCAGGGCTGCTTCAGCACCGGGTGGACATTAAGCTGCCCAGAGGAGCCGCTCGGGTGTTTTTGGGGCTAAAACAAGCAAACTGTGAGAGGGGAGCGGGAGCTGCTGACACAGAGCAGCTGCTGCAGAAGGGCCGTGCAGCAGAGGGGCTGCCCTCTCACCACCCCCCGCCCCACGGTGATGCTTTCCAGGAAAAAAAAACCAACCCTGGCTCCCTTCACTTTGGCAGAGGTTTATTTTTGGAAGCTTCAATAACGTCCGTGCTGTGCCTGTTGCTCGCCCGAGATACAGACCCTTTATTTGTTCTTAGAGTCAAAGATTAAATATAAGACTGGCCGGGCTCCAGCTGGCTCCTGCACCAAACGTCTTTGACACCAGCATCATCCAAAGCCATAAAGCCCCTGGCCAAGTGGCAGTTTTACAGCTCCTGTAAATGAAAGGCAGACCTGGCCGGTCCTTTCCTGGGGCTGACCTGCCCCTGCACAAGCAGGCATTGATGGTTGGTGCAAACCTGGCTGCAGCCCATGGCACAGGGGGGTGGCCGGGCTGGGCACTGCTCTGAGGTGACCCAAAGTGTGAGGTCTGAGCAGCTGGTGGCCTGGCTTGGAGACCTGATTCTCCTCGCTGGAGAGGACGAGCCAGATAAAGGCTGGTAAAGGCAGAGAAACACCGCGGGTGTCTCCTGGGAAGGCTGTGGACCAGGGCTGAGGGGACAGAGGCAGCCTGGGGCAGAGCCTGGGGCAGTTTAGGGGCCTCTGAAAACGAGATGGGGTGGAGGAGATTCAGCCTGCGTGGTCCACAAGTATTTGATGAACAGATTTGGGCCTTCTCTGACACGGTATGGAATGGTTTCTATAACCTCCAGGAAAGGTGGCAGTTTGCTTTGTTTGTTAAAAACCAAATCCTAACACCAAGTAAACCCTCCTCCAGCCCTGTCCCTGCCTGCTGGGTGTGCAGCAGCCTGGTGACTACAGGAGGGGCTTCCCAGGCCTCCAGCAGAAAGGAGCAGAAGGTCCCTCCTGGGAAATGCAGCTCTCTAAACAAAGGAAAGGAGCCCTGTGTGGTGCAGGGAATTGCAATAGCACTGGTTAGATTGGTCTGAATGGAGGGTGGACAAGGATATTTAGCACAGGCAGGAGGGCTGGGAAGATGAGGGGTGACCAGATTAGCAAGTCATCAAGTTTCCAGCAGAGACAAAGGAGGGCAAGTATGTCCTGGCAACTTTCAGGGGTGGGACAATGCAGGCAGACCCTCAGGTCACCTTAGAGGACAGCAAAGCCCTGCAGGGCACGGTGGCAGTGGGCTGGGCTGGAGGTGTCTGGCCAGCTTTTCCAGGGCTCTCCATTCTTTCCATGTTTTGAAGGGTGTCTGGAGAAACTGAGTGCATTGATCTCCCTTAGTTTCAGGGTACCAGAAGTCCAACAAGCCCCTGCTGTGCTGCATTTTAGGGTCTTCTCTCCTCAAGACTCAGGACTCTGGTTCTCTAGAAAGCGTAAAGGGTTTGGCTGTGACCAACTTCAGTACAGCATGGAAAGGAAGAAGAATAAATGGGAGGAAACACATTCAGGAGAGACTGCTCTCAAGAAAGGCAAACAGACTATGTTACGTCCCTGAGTACCCAGGGATAAATGATTTGAGAAATTGACTCCATTTTGCCCCCCAGGTGTCTCTTTGCAGGTCTGCTACAGTTCAGGGTCACCTGAGTCCAAAGCTTCATACCCTCAAACCCTCAGCAAACCGCAGGCCGGAGCCTGGGAGTCACACAACCCACTTGAATGAAAAAATCTGAGAAAAAAAATAATATGTGTGCTGCACCACAATTACAGGTAGTGAAGGTATTTGAGGCAGTTAGTAAACATGCCAAGTGATAAATAGAGCCATTCAGTCAGCAAACAGCTGCATGATTATAAATAGGAAAATCTACCCCAGCCCAAAGCCAGCTGTGACCCAACACATCCACTTCTTAAAGAGTGATTATTTGTGTCTGTGCATTTCTTGGAGGGAGGTTGACAATTTTTTTTTGCCCACTCTTTATTTTAGGAAGGTGAAACGTCCCCGGTGGATTTCAAAAGCCAACCTCTGGGGTATGCTATCTCCATGCCAAGGCTCTGAGTCACGAAGGGATTGGAGGAAGCTGTTTCAAATCCAGACAGGGGATAAAACAGCTGTAATTGAGTCGCCAGCTCAGCTCAGCCTGCTAATAACCACACAGCCTCGTCACTGCCCTCAGCCTGACAAGCCAAGAGCTTTGCTCGCTGCCACTTTCATATGCTCTTTGGTTATTGCTTGGGGTTAAACTTGTCCACACCTATTCCGTTCTGAATCACTGCTTCTGTCCCGGCCAAACCCGGTTCGGGGAGCGTGCTGGAGGGCTCTGTCCTTCCTCTGCTGTCCCGGCTGGGAGCTGACAGCCTCCAGGCACGTCTGCTGGACCCCTGGGCTTGCAGGGACACTGGGCTGCTCTGCAAGCTTCAGTCTAATGTGTTTGTCCACCCAGAAGTTCCTGGCATATGGTGTGTGGTAGCAGCAGGGAACAAATCTCCCATCATGGTCTGACCTTTTCATTTGGTGCGTGTGGAGTTGCTTGTGCCTGCTGTGGGGTTGCAGAGGGAAGGGACTTTGTGATCCATAGGGATGGGGGGGTGGCAGGGGTGTGCACCCTGCCCGTGGGGGCTAGATATGGGGGGATCCCAGGCTGTTTGCCTGAGGAAGTGTGTGTCTCCAGCTGCTGGTGTTTGCACCATGGTGGTGGAGCAGGGACAACAGAAAAGGAATTCTGCCTCCTCCTCAGCTCCTCACCTGACCCGTTTTGTGGCTGCTGATTCCAGCCAAAGTGGGATCTGCAGGCACATGGCCCCTTCCCCTTCAGCTCCAGAGCAGATCCCCCAGCCAAGGGGTGGGATGGGTGGCCAGGGACAGGACCCAGGTTAACCCAGCAGGTGACCCTGTTGTATCTCATGAGTCAGACTTAAAGTGCAAGCCAGATTTAGGAGGCTAGTTTTCATGGCCCAGGTCAGAAGCTGAGCTGAATTGCTCTGCTCTGAGTGCCCTGCCAAGAGAGCTTCATGTTCTCTCCCTCCTGGAAAGCACCCTGGGTGCCATGGGGGCTGAGCAGAGAGGAGAGAGTATCAAAGGAGGTGGGGATGGGTCAGAGCAGGGTGAGTGTAAGAGGTAGACAGAGATCAAAGGAGGAGGGTGGTGAGGTTCTATGGGACAGCCAGGAGAGGAGGTGGGAGCACAGGCAGAGAGCAGAGGGGGAGCAGTGAAGGGAGAAGAAGGCATGGAGGAAGGGTTCTCATTTCCAAGGGAAGATGAGGCAGGAAAGTGAAGGGCCAGTGGAAAATCAAAGGCGAGATGAAGAGGAAAAAATGGCCAATGGAAAATCAAGCCACAGCAGAGGTTAGCCTTTGGGATTTGTTCACTGGTGCCCCTGCTTTGGCTGTGCACTGGGAGCATGGAGGGTTGGGTTGCCAGTTGCTGCTCTGCAGGGCTTTGAGTCACCACCAATACCAGCATCTCACCACGGGCCTGGGGAGCAGGTCCTGTGCTGCAGCCAGGCCCTGGCTGGCATGAGAAGCAAAACTATCCACAGCCAGATTCCCTGCCCTCTGCCCAGCAGGGTGGGCTTGGGCTTTGCAAGGACAGGGAGCTGCTTTGGGAACAGTCTGACTCAGGAATCCCAGCTTTTTTTTTTTTTTTCTCCCCCATCTTTGTCTTGCTGTTCTCTCCCCCCTCCTCCTTTTTCTTTGTCTGCTAATGCACAGCAGATGGGAGGAAATGCCATTTTAAATGCCACAGCATCCTGATGAAATGGATGGGTTATGGCAATCTCAGATGAATCATGGCATTGTTTTGTGTACACGGCCCCGCTGCGGCTCAGCCCTGCTCGGGCAGTTCCCTGCCTGCAATTCTGCAAATACACTTAGGGTCTCTTCAGCATCTACACCAGCTCAGTGGCAGGTGCCCTCCAGGACCTAGATGTTCAAGTCACATTCATTCATCAAGCAGATGTCTTTGTGGAGGCAAAACTGAGCCCAAAGCTCAGTTTTCACCAGTGGTGAAACCAGGAGCTAACTTTGAAACATCTGGTCCTCGCTGCCTTTGGGAACAAAGGGCTTGTAAATTACACTCAATTCCCATGTTACGTTTATAGAGTTTCTGCACAAGGTGCAAAAACAGGATAGAGAGAACCCAGCCCAGCACACCTCCAGCTTAGCCCTTAGCACCTCTGGAAAGCCGGGCTGTGTTCCCACGCCTTCCTCTTCCTTGGACAGGGAGCCAAGGGTGAGGGGGTTTCTGAGATGTGGCCGCTTGTTGCTGGGGCTTTGCTTGGGGTGACTGGATCATTTCACCTAAGCAGTCAGGCAGGCATTGAATAATATTGACTCCCTCCCTGGCAGCCTGCTGCCAGATGAGAAGCAGCAGCTCAGAAGTGGAAAAAAAAAAATAAATCTATATATACACACACATCTCCCTACAGCTCCATTATTAAAACTCAGCAACCCAGCCCTGTTAGTTTCAAACTAATTAATCGTGAGGGAAAAAAGTCACTTCTAAGTCTTCAGCAGATAAAGCAGCCTTTTAATTTTGGTAGCTGAAAGAACAGATTTGAGAACTCCAACGAGCAGAAGACGTGACATTAAAATTTGGTTGCAATATGCTTAATTTTAACAATCTAGACTGGAAATGTATCTCCTGCTATGTCTAAGCGCCTGTCTACTGGCGTGGCAGTTATTCAGCCCTGACACTGAAGAGCTAGTAGCATTAAACCATTTGATTTCTGATTTTTCTTTTTTTGGTAGTAGATCTAATATCTGTCCATGCAGCGAGCAGAAGGGCTGTTATTATTAATCAACCCCCATCCCAGCCCTGCTTTCCCCCAGGCTCCTGCTCTGCTTTGTAAGCGTATCCCCATTAAAGGGCCTGGCAGCCGCGCAGTGCAGCCCGGCCAACACCAACAGCCACAACAGCTCTGCTGTGTTTATCCAGATTTCAGCAGCTTTACCTGGGAGGAGAAGGGAAGGGGCTGTGTTTGCCTTCCCCAAGCCAGAGGTCTGGGGGATTATTTTTCCCCCATCAGGCGTCCTTGCCATGCAGCAGGAAAAGGAGGGAGAGGAGGGAAGAGGCAGGAGCTGCTTGTGCCGGGTCGTGCTGTGGAGCTGCACCACAGCATCACGTGCCTTTCCAGAATCTTGAGCTTCTCAGCTCAGTTCTGACCAGAACAAAACCCTTGTTCCTGGTTAGTGGCCCACTATGAGTCTGAGAGAGAAGGAACAACCCCTTGTTTTTCAGCCTTGAGCTGCCCCACTAGTGTGACCGAGTCCTGTAACTTTGCCCTAGGACAGTTGGCTCCTGCTCACATTCCCACACAAACTAGGAGCATTTGCCCCTCAGCCTGGGGTTTTCTTCCCCACGGTCTCTGACCATAACCACAACCTGTGGCCATTTGTTTTGTTCCAAAATCCCCTTGTACATTGTGCCTGGGAGGCTGGGAAACAGAGGAGAGCTTTCCAAAGCTGGATGGTTAGCAGAATGTGTCACCCAGAGGAGGGTACATTGTGAAGAGCATCTCTGAGCAGCATGTCCCACTGCCCTCCTCTGCTGGCACTGTCCTGCCGTGGGCACAGCTGTGTGCTGGCAGTAGAGATGCAGCAATCTGAAAACAGGGAATGAAAGGGGAAAAAAAAAAAGTAAGAATTCATCCCTCTCTTTCCAAGTGTTTCTGCTTTGTACATTAGTGTCCCTTCCTGGTCCCCATCGTGCCTGGCTGTGGCTGCTGGGCAGGAGGAGAGCACCATTAATGGGCTCTTGATGTGTGTTTATTTCGTTTAGCATGTCCCGAGTGCCGTGGTGAGAGCTTTTGAGACGTTCCTTATGGTGATTGCTTTCCCTGCTTGTGAAGATGGAAAAAGCCACAGTGGTTAAGGGAAGGGAGTGGACAGATGCCAAACGCATTAGTGCTCTGGGCAGTCTCAGAGGGCCTGTTTGTTTGGTGCTTTGCCTCAGGAGGAGGGGGCTTGTGAGGAGCACGGCTCCCCCGTGCCCTGCACCCCTTGACCAAGTGGCTGTGGGTGGAGGGCAGATCTCACAGACTCCTTAAGGGTCCACCCTCATTTGGCAGGGCTCAATCTGAAGGCAGGGGAAACTTGGGCAAGCACATCCAGCATGAGCATTGCTTCCTGCCATGGTGGTGCCAGCCCTTCCTGATGCTCATGACGGGAGCATCAGAGTCTGGGGTGATGGTCCTGCTTACAGCATCCTCCTCCTCCAAAAGTGTGATTGACCACTAAGTACTTGACCACTCTGCCTGCTCCCTGCCAGACAAGGGAGTGGGCAGGAGGGAAAGCTTGTGCTCCTGGTATCCAAACCTCTTACCTCCAGGGCTTTCTGGGTGGGCTGTGGAATGCTGCCTCTGCTTGGGTGGGATGCAGCCCCACACTGGCTCCAGCTGTATTCTCCGGATTGATGTGACTTTCATGTAGCAGAAAAGCTCAAGTTTCACACAGGAACAACACATACACACGTGCTTGTGTGCGAGTAACACAGGAGAGGACCAAGCTTGGATCTGTGCCAAGGTGGGCAGCAGAGGTGGACTCCTGCAGAATAATTAATCCCTGTCCTCCCTGCCTGGCTGAGGGGACAGCATGACCAGAGATGCCTGTTTATCTGCATATGACAACAATACGCAGGAATTACAAACAGATTCTTTCCTTATCTTGCTCGAGGGTTATTGCAGTAAAGGGATTTACTTTGCCTTTTCTGCCAAGAAAATGTATGCAAAGATTCCACCAAAGCACATATAGATGTTTCTCTTGGAAACAGTAAAAACCCTGCTATCCAAAAAAGCCCTGCAGTGTTATAGATCCCTGGGGTTTTATCCAAGTTTCATTAGGAATCTGGACATACTCAAAATGGCTTTCTGATAAAGCTGAATTAATCTCCCTGTCTCAGAGACTGGTATGGCCTGATTTCCAAGCTGAGATTTGGGTGGGTTGGGAATTGGGTAGGACATTTCCAGCCACCTAAACTGGGAAGGAAGGAGCTCCTTAAAGCAACCCAATGTGAATACTTGCAGATGCCTTCCCTGGCTTGCCAGGGGGGAGTGGGGTTGGCAGGGGCATCCCAGTTGAGGGAGGCTTTTCCTTGGCTGGGATTGAAACAGATGAGCAAGAAGTTGGTCTCAAGGCATGAGATTCACAAGGCAGGAGGGCTGGGAGACCAGATCCTCTGGAACAGCCTCCTTGGAGCTCCTGGGATCTAAAGGCCAAAGCAGCAATGCTGGGGTGAGGAGCAGGCTGAAGAGCAGGAGTCCTAGATATGGCCACCTCAAAGCCACAGCGAGTCTGCCAGCCCTTGTGAGCCACAAGAGGGTGACAAAGTCCCATCCTGTGCTGTGGTGGTCTTGGACAAACCCGGAGATGTCCCCAGCTAACAGAGGACAGCAGTACCCCTTGGACACTAATCCAGACTGGGCAGCCAGAGGCTCTTTGAAAGTCCTTGTTCAAGTCCTAAATGGGAGAGTGCTGGCTGGAATTGGGATCCTGGTACTGAGGAGCTGTGGAGTCTTTTTCTTCCGCTTGGCTTTAGTTAGCATCAGTGCTGGCATCATCAAACTGTCCTGTTGCCAGAAGAGAGGGGAACTTCCCAAACTCGCTGCAGCAGGCAAGGAAAGAAACCTCGCCCTTGCTCCCTGCTGGTGGTCTAATGCAAACCCCACGTTTTGCAGCTTGGTGCCTCTGCCAAGGATGCTCCAGGAACATCTGCACCTCCTGGGATGCAGGGAAAACGCTCCTGCTATGGTCATGCTCCAGCTGCCTGGGTTGTCCCCAGGGTGATGGTGGTTGGTGGCCCT